GGATAAGTGGAAATCGAACGTCGCATTTACCACCACATCGAAAGATATACCTTTGGTCACAAAAAACCATGAAAAGCTCGCCAACTACGGCAAAGACAGCGCGAAAACACGTTTTAGTGAAATATCTAGAGATCAAAGTATTGAAGTCCGGCGAAAAGCCAGCTGGCCGAAATATCAAAATGCCGTAGCTACCTACCGCGCCTTTCTGGATAATTGAGAAGAATTTATCAGCAACATCGTCAAATGCAGCGATACGTATGCAGCCACCCTCCTCATCGGTTATCTCGAAATTAAACACTCGCGTTTCTTTGCGAGCCGTTTTGAAAGTTCGCATTTCTTCTTTTGCTGTCACCATACCACAGATACGCCACCTGAAAATCACCAAAAAATGAGTTACACAATGTGGTACACTTGCTGATGGAAGATTCACGACAAGGTACCAAAGGCATAATTTATTCCATTTCCGACAAAAATTCCCCTTTTGCCCTCTACACCTGTTCGGACAACTTCGATGGAAAATTTCTCTTTCTGCCGCTGATTCAAGAAAAAAATGGATTATGAAGTGCATATGTCATTAGCAACAATACGCAGACAAGGCTGGTACGCTTCTCAAAATTACTCAAACAACATGCCCATCCGGTTACTTGCACAGAGCAGAAAAACGACTCAACCTCGAAACGAAACAAAAGTCGTAATCATAAAGTCGGAGGGCACGGATGTCAAATATAACAGATTGTTGAAGCGGATAATGGAATGGTATCTGCGCACAGTCAAACGAACACTGGAGATGCCACCAGTAAGGTAGAGAGACCCTATGGTGCGGCTCTATGGTATCACATGGTCTCAGAAAGCGCAACAACGAATCGAGTGGAGAAGTTGCCAGCTGTATCGGTGGCGTAAACGTCGATGACATACAGCTGCTCAAGTATTTAAATAAAGTCGAGTCAAAATTCCTTCCGCAATTCATTTACTCTGAAAGGCAAAGGTACTGCAAAATGGTCCAAAAGATAGCATGTGCCAGTAACAATAACCTATTCACAGGTTTTAAGGTGCACTTTCCTGCGACTTGTTTAGCAGTAAGCGGATAGGAATATCACTCCTCAAAAAAAGCCAAGACAAATTCACAGGCAAAATGGATAAACAAATCGTAGAACCACCAATCGACTGCCCCACAAGCATAATAGAATTCTCGAATTTTAGCATGAAAATAGCACTAGTTGCTATTAAATCACGTGTGTTAATAAAATTACAAAAGTCCTAATTTGCCAAACAGCCGGCCTGGATTATCAAATTCACCAGAAAACTATCAACGGAAAACTATTTTTTCCCCAGTTTTCTTCTGTACCTTTCAACCGCTTAACTATGATTATAATATGAGTAAATGCATACTTGTTAACATATGGAGTGATCAGTTTGATCGGCGTCAAGTTCTGTGAGACGAGGTTAACCACGCAATGCGACGACGGCCCTCCAGGACGTCCTGCAAATGCACAGTGGTGTGTGTTCTATGAAACACTGTGAAAAAAGGATCAGCGATTAGTCTTCTCAAAGCGCGGCTGCCGCCTTCACATCGAAGCGTTTTCTTTTAGCTTTTATGCAAAAATACGGGAAAAGCCTATTGCTGTACAACTGTACTTGCGTGTTGTTATCAGTCCCCTGCTCTCTCGCAAAAGATTAAAATAAATAATAAAAAATGAAAGTCCTCAGAATCAAATATTCTCCAGCAGAAAGCCACATGAAGGAAAGGAGGAGCGGCGATATGTGTTGGTACTCTAAGAGATCATTGGCGACACGCTTTTTTTGCACTATCATGCGTTTTTGTACCATTTCGTGCTGCAGTGAGATCGCTCAAACCCAGTAGCTAGAAATTCTGAGATACAGGCCCCTGGAATTAATTAGTTGTGCAACTGCGCGGTACATCGACAGGGAACAATCCGTTAAAATTTTAGCCTCCCCGTTTTTCTGGTTCCCGAGTTAGCGGCTCCCCTGCCAAAACTTTCACGTGGTTGTACGCAGAGCTCAGTCATGCGTGAGGGATGGTGCCGCCGCCTAGGGGTGGCACAGGGTTGGGAAACTTACTGGCAAAATGTTGGCGCCGGAACTTGCCTGGCTGCTAAGTTGGAATACCCGGAGAGAGAGACAAACAGACACAGACAAACACACACACACACACACACATACCCACACATCGAGGTCGTCATAATATGCGTTTTTGCACTTGCATTTATGCAAAAATGCATAATTACTTGCAGAATGCTTTCTAAGATAGTCCTTCAGTAGTGCAGTGAAAAAAGTGCAAGAGCTGAAAACACAAGGAGAAATGAGTGCGTAAGTAAAACAAACAGTCAGGGCCATGCAAATCTGCGTTTGTACATTTATATAAATATATAAAAAAACAGAAATTAATGGCATGATAGCTGCTACTTTAGTCAGAATGTCTGATGAACAGAGAAATCCGAAGGAAGGCGCAAGGTTCTACCACTTCTATGTCCACACGTAACTGCATGGATAAGGTAAGCATAAGCTGAACAAGACGGAATAAATGACTAGCGCACCGACTGCCAGTGCACAGCTGCGTTTTTTGCATAGTTCCCCGCAGATTTTTGTCGCTAGCAGCAATGATTTTTCCGACAGATGCTTCCAGCTAAAAGAATTGAGACTAATCGCCAGACCTATTAGGAAACATCCCTTTAAAATTTTAGCTTTCTAGCTTTCGTGGTTCCCGAGTTAGTAACTTACTCGAAAAAAATTCACGGCCCATACATAGGAACGACGCATACCTAGGGGCTGGGTTTGAGCTCATTAAGACCTACGTGGACGGGTAACTTCCCCTTAAAATTTCTGTCCTCAAGCTTCTCAGGTTCACGAATTAGCAACTTACCCGAAAAAAACTTCGGCGGGCCCGTACTTGAGTACCACGCAGGTAAGAGAGCCCATTTTGGGGATGGGGGCCTGTATATGCATGTAGATTAAGTTCCCAAAGTTTCAGTCCTGCAGCTTTTGTAGGTCTCGAGGTGAAAAAACGGTGCAGACGAACACACAGACACACATACAATCTCTTGTCAATATGCGTTTTCTGCATTGCACAGATGCAAAAAACATAAAAATTGTCAGCTGCTACATTTACAGCAAAGAGCGCAACGACGAATCAGCGTCCGTTAAAGATCTTTCAACTAAAAAAAAAAAGTCAACTGCACAACCTGAAGGAATTTTCAAAAAAAAGCTTTACCGGAAGGTGTTGCCTGCGCCAAAACAGAAGTCGGTTTTTCAGGTGTTCGATGTTCCGGTTTGTTTTTCTGAAGACCGGCATTTACATTCAGCCCTCGATAATCGGCTGGATTTCCGGAGTGGTGAACCGGATTTCCGAAGACCGGCAAATTACGTCCCAAAATCTCATAATCCATAATTCTAATCAACGGCCTTGGGACACTTTTCCTGAAAAAAAAAATGCCAAAATCAGCTATCAGTGTAATACAGGCGTGATAACACAGGCCTGGTGTGCTACATCGGTAAGTAGAGCTATTCTTTCAAAACCATAGGCGGGTACTGGGCGGTCTCTTGAGGGAGGGGGGGG